AGAAAACACATGACATCTGACACTTTTTATTACTGACACTTTATTACTGACATCTGACACTTATTTTTATTACCAATTTGATACATTTTTCAGACAATGACACTAATGGAATATACATGAAGCATTTAGCAGTGCTCTACAATGAACCAAAGCCAACCACTATTACTATGCTTAACAAAGTTTTCTTGTGACAAAAACTTCAATGTGACTAATATTAGAGTTAACTTCCTGCAACATCAAACAGTAACAAGTGGGTGTTTAATCAAGCAATGTGTTTCTAGATGGATAATATTGAATATTAGATTTGTACTTTTATTAAAAACCTTGTAACATATGAATTACCAGTTGGTCCTGTCTTACCCCAGCCTGGTCCCATCTTACCCCAATGGGGTAAGATGGGACCGGCTCACTTTTTTAAATCTGTACAGAAAACTATGTTAGATGCAAAATGTCTGAGTTGTAGCTTAGAAGCCCATTGCATAACTACACCTTGTGATAGGTTTAGGGTTTTTTAGTTATTCATGGTATAGATGCTACAGGCTTGCTAGTGATTTCGGTCCTGTCTTACCCCATCTGACTATACCCTTTTTCAACAGCTCATGCTTCCAAGACAATTTTTGTGTAGGTACAGCACATGACGAGTTGACAGTGAAAAACAATGATTGGTGATAGCTTTTGCCCTATGTAACAAAGCGCAAACTAATGAATATTTGTGTGTGTGTGTGTATTTTTCTTCAACTTCATCCATATAATTCATTCCAAGATTAATTAAGTCCACATCAGTTACTGCCTACCGCTTTAAGGGGGGGGTCTATCCTCCGGGAAAACTTCCACAGTTACTAAGGGATCTTTCTGAAACTTCAGACATATGTGTAAAACCAAAAAAAAAAAACAGATTTTGTTTGTATGCTTTTTTCGGAAAAATTAATGGAAAACGTGAAATTCATAGAAAACGGAAAAAAAGGGAGTACTGAAAAAATCTATCTGCTAGGGTTTTCAAGGTACAACATTGAGACGCATATTATTTATTATTTGATGCATGTTGCATGAAGACCATACCAATCGAGTAACAAAGCCTGATTTTTTATTTTTTGCCTTAGTTTTTTTATGTGCATTTTTTCGTTTTTTTTTTATTTTCTTCAAATTTTCCCCCCTCCCTCCCATTTTGAATCCAAACTAGAGATGCAAAAAAATGTTTTTTTCCAGAGTGTTTTTTTCAGTAAAAAAAATGTTTTTTATGTGTTTTTTTTATTGTTTTTTTCTTTCGTGTATTTATTTGGGATCAATATATCTATACCCTTAATATACATTGAAATGATGTGTTTTTAAATCTTATTTAACATATCTCATGTGTGATTTATAATTTATCAAGCCTAATACTTCTAGTTCTGCCTAGCTTAAAAGGGTAAATAAACAAATTTTTCATTGCTTATTGTACTCAAAAATCAAAGTATGCAAAAAATACAAAAAATAAATATTTTCAAAGCATTCCATTTTCAGTCACTCACCATGACCTATGAGTCTAAGACTATGACTCAGTCCCTCCCAACCAGATACCAGACTCTGATATCAAAATCTGTAGAAAAAATAAAAGCATCTAAAAAAAGTAGTCCATTTCAAGTAAACATATTGAAGTCACGTGTGGTATGTGACATGGGTCACGTGCCTCATCGAGTCGGCATCACTCACCATGACTCGTGAGGCATGATTCACTCAGAGTCACTATCACTTATCACTGTATCACCAAGACTTGGAAGAGTATCTTCTTGTTGATCTCCATCAGGGTCATGAACATCATCCATGTCCATATGGCTGTCAGTGTCACTGTCTGACTCGTTTTGATGCTCTTGGTTTAAGCCTGCAGTTGTTAACAATCGCGGCCATTTTTCTGAGGCTGATGGCAATGCAGCAGGTTCATTATCGGCATTGTCGATCAATTGTAGGTTATGCCCTATATACACCAATTTGCCCGCCCTCTCTGCTGTCAATCTATTCCGCTTCGCTGAGTGCACGTGCGAGTGCCTGCTGAACGAGCGTTCAACAGCTGCACTTGTGGGAGGCAAGTTCAGTATCTGACTGGCGATTTTTGATAGTTCAGTGGATAGTGTTTGCCTGTATCAAGATGGTGTCCAGCTCACCAGCTTATTAAATGATCACTGCTAAAATAACTCATAAAATAGACTGTTGGGAAACATATCACTTGATTAGTTTGTCACCGTGAAGCTGGCAAACACAGTTCTGCAGTATGCATTAAGTCAACCGTGGTTATGTTGAGCAGTAAAAACACTGAATCACTTTAAGAGCTGCACACGACCGTCACCTGTCACCACCATACACGAAAACAGCTCAGCAGTAACTGAGGCCTTGCTGCCTTGGACCTTGGGGTCAGCGCTTGCTAATAAAAAGATGATGCAATATACGAGGATTATGGAATAACCCGCGCGTGGCGCGGTTCACTGACTGGCGGCCTGCAACAATGTTAACTAAAAGAAGATGCAATATACATGGATGACGCAATAACCCGCGCAGCTTACTGACTGGCGGCCTGGAAGGCTGGAACAATGTTAAATAAAAGATGATGCAATATGCAAGGACGATTTAACAAGCCGCGCGGGACGCGGCGCCGCCTGGCAGTCTGCACCTGCTACGTTTATTGAAAGATGATGCAATAGGCAAGTAGCTATGATGCAATACAAATGACTTCGCTGTCATTCAATGATATTAGGAATTTTAAGATACAGCATAGACCTGTCACCTATCATCCTGTGGCCCTCAGGTAAAGTGATTTTGGATTTATTTGCATTTATTTATGTTTCTCTAAAAAAAAACAATAAAAAACATGTTTTTTTAGGCTGATGTTTTTTATTAAAAAAATTGTTTTTTATTGAAAAAATTTGTTCTTAATTAAAAAAAACATGAGTGTTTTTTTTACGTCGCATCTCTAATCCAAACTATGCACAAATCTAAAAAAAGGGCTTCGTTACTTGATAGGTATGGTTTTTACGAATCGAATGGTATATGTCTCATTGCTGTAGCTTCAAAACTCTAGGAGGAGATAGGTTTGCCATGACAATAAGTGTGAATGTTGAGGAGAGCGTGACAAAGTCCTGCGCGCATTGCAATAGGCACTCAATGAAGCAAGGATACGAAACTAAATGTTACTGGAGCTTGATTCCACTCAAGGATGGTGGGAGCAACTGCATGCACACCTCCTCTATCAAAGCCAGGCGGGTGACTTAGTTCCAGCGCCAGCAAACACTTTTTAAAGGGCTATGGAGCTAATTACCACCTATGCTATTTCTTAAAGGAACCGCCCCACCTTCCCCCCTTTTATTATCTGTAGTGAATGCATAATACAACGTACCAAGATGGTAATGGTACCGTTGGATAGCTGAGAATGTCAGCTTTAAGATGAGACTAAACGGATAACTGAAGCGCAGCGCCAGCAGACACTCTATTTAAAAAAACTAGGGAGCTAATTACCATCTATGCTATGTAAAGAACTCCACAACCTTCCTCCCTTTCACAACCTGTCTGGAATTCATAAATCAGCGTACAGGTATGGTAATGGTACCGTTTGATAGGGCAGAATGTCAGCTTTAAGATGAGATTGAAAACTGGAAAAGCCAAAATCCAAAAATTTTAGAGTAGACCCCCCTTAACAAAAAACCTATATGGTTCTTCACAAAAACTGACTATATGCCCAAATTGACCCTGTGACCCTAAAAAACTGTCCAGGTCCAGCTTGTAGTTACCTGTTTTGGTGTCTGCAGCTGTCTGCTGGACATGAATTTTACATGTAAATTAAAAAAACATTTTTAGAAATGTCCTGTTTCTGGAGATTTTACAGTATTCTCTATCCATAACTAAATGTCCCTTTCTGAAACCCTGATGTGCTGGGAGAAGACAATTTTTCCAAGTAATTTCGAGAATTTGATATGCAACATTTAAAACATTTCAACATTTCAGATGATTTGCATCCTTTTAATTTTTGTTATCCTGGTCTGACAGACTGGTCTGCATCCAAGTCTTAGTCACTTTGTCTGGGTCTGGTGGACTGGTCAATGTCTGTTTTTTAATTGGTTTCTAAAATATTTCATGTCTAATCTAGGTATTTCTAGTTTAGATCTTTCATTAAAATTTGTACCTATGGTCATTGTGTACTAGTACAGTAATATTGGTATGGTAACTCACTAACAGAGCCTCAAGATACTACTACCAATGAAAGCTGGGCAAGGTGGCCCAGTGGTTACAGTTCAGAGTACCAAGATTGAAGCAGAGAGGTGCAGGTTTGATCCCAGCTCTGTGCGCCAGTTTCTGGTCAGGATAGGTGAGAAGGCCGGGTGGTCAAGCACAGCAGATTTGAAGCAGCGAGTTGTGTGTTTGACTTCGAGACCACATCAAGCTGTGAATGTTCTGCGATGTTAAAAATCGGCGACAGGCCTACGGCCTAATAAAAGCTGAAACTGCTATTATTATTATTATTATAAAAACATCATTCTATCTAAAATTGAAGAGTTCAATGGAGAACAGAGTGTCACTGGTTCAAGACAATGAGTTTTCAACTTTCATTTGTATCAATTTACATTGCAATTGAATAGAACAACTTATTCTTAGGAAGAGTTCTTTTACTCTGATTTTGATTGATAAGTGAGCTTATGGACTGAATCATGAAACTTGGGAGCTGGTCTAATAAGGGCGCTTGGCACTGAAATTGTTACCATACCAGTCCTCTAGTGAATTTGCAGTAAATCCAGTTCAAGACAGCCAGTGACCTCTTCAGAATCAGACACAGAATGGTAGCCATAAATAAGAAATACTGGAAACTATTCATTGCCTTTTATACGAGCCTAGTTGCTGGCAAAACTGGAGATGGTGATTTGTAGCCACTACTACTAGCTGCCCTGTGTTTATATTAGCTACAGATCATTCTCAAAATAGTCTGTTCAGGGCTTTGAGTTAATTTTTTATAAGATTAACATATAACTTATAAATTTTAAATTTATATATACAATCATATCATTATGATGCCAATGTGAATAGTTTTTCTTTCTCCATATTTTTTTCAGGAAGTATATTTACTTATGTACCCTCTAACTATAAATCAATTATATTGCTTCTAATAATGGCTAGTTCACTAAAGAGGTTTATATATCAAAATTATTTTATGAAAAGAATTAATTGTTGCTTGACAATTCTTGCAATATTATTTGTTTTCATTATGTTAAAAGGTAAGCTTGTTTCAGACAATTAGTATAAGAGACTGAAATTTGTTGAATTTAGTGTCATTCAATAAATAATTAGAAATTTTCAAATTTGAATAAAATCTACAACACACGTATTCTATAGTACAATATTTTTTCAGCAAAATTTAATTTCTTAGGGTTTTCTTTCAGAATTTTTGTTATTTGATGTTAGTAAGGAATAAAAATCATGTGATTGTAAGCCCCAGCATTATATAATTTATACTATAGGTACATTTATGATATGTTTTAGGTTGTTGCACCACTAGCTTGAAGGCTCATTTTATTGTATCATTTAATTGGTAAAATTTTGTTTTAATATAGGTATATAAGTAATGCCTTACTCATACAAACTGTCTTAAGTTGAACTGTTATGCTTTAATATTGATCAAGTTTTTTAGATTTAATATGATTAAAAATGGTTCCTGGACAAATAAGAATTTATTGTCTATCAACAGGTTGGTTGAGAGAAGGAGAAGATGAGTCCGTTGAAGCCTTATATGCCAAGGATCCAGGCCTTTGCAACCAAAATATTCAGTCCCTTCACTTGCAGGTGTGACAGATTTTATTTTTTTATTATGTATTAAACATACTAAACACAAAGTAAGCAAATGTGTACCTATAATTAATTTTGACATGAATTTAGGTTCAAAATTTTCAAACCATCAATTAAACCATAAACTTCAATCTCACCACTAGTAGTGTGATCAAATTATTAAATATTTGTTATTAAATTCTTAAATTACGTATTGAAATGTCTTAATTAGATTTTCTTTGGCAAATTTATCAGCTTCAACTTGCTAAATGGAAGTTAATAAATTTGTACCATTATAAATCCCATTTATTTGGATTATTTCCCACATTTATTAAATAACTATGTTATCTGTCATTTGTTGTTCATATGAACATGATATTTTTTCTTCGAGTTGCTTTAAACTTTCAAATCATTCAGTTCTAAATTTCAGATTCGGGAGCTGAAGGCACAGCTGCTAACAAATGGGTTATCTGTTCCTGATACCTCTAACCTTCCCACCATTTTCGTCATCACACCAACCTACGCTCGACCCAACCAGCTGGCCGAGTTGAACAGGTAGCCAAAGAAAGAATTCCCTACATCTATTTAGGGAATATATGTAGGTTTTCATTTAATATTTTTCATCCAGAAGCGTGTAAAAACAAACCTTCAATAATATAATTTAAGCAAACTTCAATCTAAAGCATTGGGTTGTATTTAATTGAGGTCAGTTGTGAAAAATTATCAAAAATTATAGCTCAGTACTCACTGCAGTGAGTGACAGAGAGCGCATTTTCTCGTCGACGAAAACTTGAGATCACGGATGGACGGACAGACAGACGGACATGGCGAGCACAATAGTGCATTTTTTCCATAATTGAGAAAATGCTCTAAAAACACCGATATCTACTACCAGGTTGCGCAATGTGCTGCTGCACATACCTCAAGTTTGGTGGCTGTTGGTAGAAGACAGGGAGGAGAAAAGTGAGCTTGTAAAAAATTTCCTGACGCATTCAGGAGTCCCACACACACACCTCCACCAGCCGACTCCACCTGAGTGGAAGGTCAAGGACAAGGTATGTTGTCACGGATTTTTCAAAAATTTGTCATATTGACTCATTATCATGTAAATTAACTGCACAAATCAATATTGATATAAACTATTGCTTAAAGCTTAGTGTTACAGGCTGGAAAATGTTTACATATGGCAAAAATCGGTGAATTTTCTAACACATTTTTTTGTATTACACTCACAGTGGATGAATTGAACATTATATTTTTTGCCAGTCTCCTCGCTGGACAAAGCCACGAGGTGTGCTGCAACGCAATGCTGCCCTTGACTGGCTGCGCAAAAATGCTGATCCTCATCTCCCTGCCGTGGTTTACTTTGCTGATGATGACAATTCCTACAGCATCGAGCTCTTCCAGGAGGTATGTTGTAAGTTTGACATTTTATTACCAAATTGATTGATTAAAATAAGAAAAAAAGTAGTTTCTATCATGTCATAAATTTTGAAGTTGGACACTCGGATTGATTACTCCAACAATTTTACTTTACGTTCAGGTTCAGGTTCAAAATACCGGTATTCATTACTTATCATTTTGTCAGGTTTTCGCCGAGTGGCACTTGATAGGCACGTGACTAAGTTCTCGTATGAATAGGTTACGGCAAAATAGTACAAAGAGAGGGTTGTAATGAAACACTGATACATTTCACATTGAATTGGAAAATTCAAGTTCACATCCTACGTTAACAAAAATCTCTAGTACTTGACATAAGTAATCTGAACACAGTCAAAAGTCCAAATTCTATCAGTTTACATCATAAAAATCATCTAATTTTACCGGAAAATGTTGATACATTGCAGTTCCGTTGAGCCGTACGACCGTAACTCGCGCATACGTTTATGGCCGTATGTTCAGCGACCGTACCGCAGCTGTAGCGGCGCATTTGCAGCCGTAATCCAAGTGGTCGTACTGCCGCTGTAGCCGCGCGTCCTCGCGATCGCTGTTCTTCATAACCGTCGTGTCTCGCTGCCACAGATGCCTCACGGTCAGTCTTGCCGTCGGTTGTTTTACAACGACCGTACTTCGGAATAGTGGCGTAGTCTTACTCGTCGTTGATATTATTCCAAGCTCGTTGCCGTACTGCGGTTGAACATGACTGTGACCGTACCGCTTCTTCTTGATGGAAATTGTGACCGTATCGTACTGATGACCGTACCGATGATAACTCCCGGTGTAGAACTCGAATTTAAATCTTCTGATGACGTGCGTTATAATCGTTGTACAACTCGTGGCCCTCTCGCATTGTCTCACGGCTGAGTCGCAGCCGTAGTGCCGATGTTGATTTTCTTGACGTGCTCACCGGACTCTTGGCTGCTTCGATAAGTCCAGGTTTCTCGCGACCGTCAATGTTCGAAAACGGGTATACCATCGGCCTCACGGCCGCGGCCGTTAAATACAGTCCGCTGACTGCAGACCGTGCTTGCGTGACGGTCACCTCCGTATAACCAACCTTTGGCGCGATTTTTAAGGTCCTTATATACGCTAGTGTCGCGCGCAGTTAAGCATATGCCCTCGAAGTGACGCAACATTCCTCGAAAGGAATGTCCCTCGTGCTGAGCTCGCCAACGTTCAATGTAAACTAACTCCTTCTCCCACGGTCTCGAACCAACCGCGCCTTACACACTTGCTATATCGCTTCGACCCGCATTCCTTGCATTCTTAACACCTACGCATAATACATGTTCAATATTACCTACTTTATTCATGCTTTCTTATTACATTTTCTGTAAATCGTTGATATTCAGAGAAACATAACAATAATTTCAACGAAACAATGCGAAAAAGTTAATATATACCTTCAATTTTATTTTTCAAGTGGTATTTCCTTTTTGCATGATTTGTGGACAAATTTTTGTATTAAAGCATACCATAAGGCCATTAATAAAAGTTCACTTTATGTAGCTCATTCAATGATTAATGATTATATTGATTCACACAGATGCGGTGGACGTCGCAAGTGTCGGTGTGGCCGGTGGGGCTGGTGGGGGGCGTGATGGTAGAGCGCCCTCTGTGTCTCTGTCGCCAAGGTGTCGAGCCTGATCAGGCCAGACCCATGGTCACGGGGTGGCTGGTCGGCTGGAAACCTGAACGGCCTTTTCCCACCGACATGGCAGGCTTTGCTGTTAATTTACGTCTGCTACTTGACAATCCTGATGCCAGCTTCTCACTCGAGAGCGAGATTGGCTTCATGGAGACTGACTTTCTCAGTCGCATCGTCACCAAAGAGGAGCTTGAGCCCAAAGCGGAATGTTGTACCAAGGTTTGTTTCTATGCCAAATATTGGTGTTTATATGAAGACACGCTAACGATCACCCTTTTTGTTTGTGTATCTTAATTTACTGAAATTTTCGTTATGTATGTAAGATATTGTGAATTAATGAGCCGCAATTATTCGCTAAAAATATTTACCTTAATTTAATGAAATTTCAGATATTAATATGTATATGTGTGTCAGATATTATTGAAAATTATTGAATCACAACTATTTTTGTGTTGGCTGAATAATTTCTCATTAAAAAACTTTTTTACCTAGTTATTGCAGGTGAATTTCAAAGTTTTTTTCACACAGTAGAAATAAATAATTTTTACTCCATAGCTTAGTTTTTAATTTTGGGTTTCTCTTTTCAAAGCAGAACTTTGTATCGGTAAATAAGTTATCTTATTCCGGGCTAACTTTAATGGAGGTGGAATATTCTTAACCTCGTCTGCTGTTCAACAATTCAACGATTTCACTCGTTCAATGTAGCAAATTCAGTAGCTTATTTTCGGTTGAGCCTCAAGCATGATTGTTGATGACTTTTGTTTATTTTCTACAGTTTGAATTAGTTGGAGTAAGCTTAGTCTCAATTTTCTATGCTGGATATTTCAAATGATAGAGTATTTAAAAATACACTAATATTAAGTCACACATGAAAATACTTTTCATGTGTGATAAAACATTTATTTGACCATTATGGCCCATTTACGATACCGTGCAGAACACACATTCACGCTACATTCACCATTTAGCCGTGGTCCGAGTTAAGTGTGCTTTTGTCGGGGCGCAGCTTGAGCTACTGAACATATCCGAGATGCGGCTCCATCAGGCGATCCCAACTCATAGTTATAAATACTTTGTGTGTTAAAGTCACCACCCACACCTACTCAGGCCGAGGATTCTAACAAGGGATGTTCAGTCGCGTCGTATCTTGAATTCCATTGAGTGCAGAGATGTGTACTTAGCGCCAAACCAAAGAGCTCACTACTTCTAAGTACCAGTTGTAGGGTTGTGTAGTTTGATTTCTCGTAGTATTTCAAATGTCTTCGCAACGATTTACTAATGTGTCACGTAGGCGACCTCTCGGATCGAGCGACCATTGTTTCAATTGTTCTTCGCCTGTCTAATATTTGATCTGTCTCCGTGATAATGCTAAGCTGTTCCATTCCACAGCAATCTGCCCCGTGCGAATAAGGAATGATTATCGACTTTGAAAATTTATGATCTAAAATTTCTATTTTGTAAAGATTTGTTTGTTCCGGCAGGAAATCCGTCATCGCCGACGTGCTATTCCTTGTGTCCATTGTTTCTCTAGTATTGAGAATAACGAGATAAAAATGCTGAATGTGGTCTTTGAAGGAATTTACATAAAATTACTTTTCAGGTATTGGTGTGGCATATGAACGCCGTAAACCCGAACCTCAAGGATGAAGTTCGACTTCGTCAGCTTGGAAGACAAACAGATATCGGGATCGATGTATGAAAAATGCTTCATTGCTGCTGTGTTTTGCTACATTTGTTGTTGCACTGGAAACATTAATGAAGTTAAGTCGTGTCCCAAAACAGTGCAAACTCGTTTATTTTGTCTCAGTAAACCCTTATCCGTCAGCCGTGAGTTTTGTTGTAGATTTGGCTTTTATTGAAGCTATGCTTTCGTTTGTGAGACTAATTTTTTTTAATATTAGTTGTGTTAAGATTTCACAAGACATATTGGTCCTTTGCGATATGCCTGATTCTTGTACCGGAGCCCGTGAGCATAGAAGAAATGAAAATTCAATGATGTCAGAAATTTTCTTTCATAGCGCCTGTTGATTGGATGTTGAAATAATAATTTACCTGCCGTCCATTGTGATGTTCAATTTCGAGCATATGCTATTATGAGAATTAAATTCCAATTAAGTTTTAACCATTTGAATTCCGAGAAGGCTATATATGATACAAGCCTCAAGGAGCTTAATGCTTATAAATGGCTTTGCTAGAACGAATTATATACGTGATAGCATAGACGAGACGTTGTGCTTCACTTGATCCATGAGAACCTGAGACTCCGGAACTTCATTGTTAGTTTTATGGCTGTATTTGAGACGAATCTGCCAGGAGTTATCGATCAAAATATTCATCCAAGAACATAAAATTTCATGGTTCTTGGCAATATCTAATTGTGCATAGATCAAGAACTGACTTGTTTGAGACGTGTTGATGCCATCGAATCTTGAAAATCTTCCGTAAGCTTTTGATCTGGAAGATATCTAGTTTTCTCTCTTCTCCCTTGGTTAGTTTCCAGTTCTCGCATACGTATAACAAAACTGAAAGAACCAAGCTCTTGAACAGGGAGGTTTTGGTCTTTCTGCTGATGTTTCTGGCTTGCCAGATGTTTGTTAGTCTTTTGAATTGCGCGCTTGCCATTGCCACTCGCCTCCTCACATCCACTGTGCTCCCACCATCCTTAGTGACGTTTGCACCCAGATATGTGAAGCTCTCCACTTCCTCCACCTCGCTCTCTCCAGCCCTCAGCCTGTTGTTGCTCCTGCTGCCGACCTTCAATATCTTGCATTTCTTGGCATTCAGTTTTAGCCCCACTTCTGCTGCATTGCTCTCTAACCTGGTTGCTTTTTGCTGCTGGTTATTCATTGTTGCATAGATTGTTTATCGTTATTTATTTACGAGGGAGGTACTTCTGCAGGCAAATCATTATATACATCCAATGTTTGTATAAACGTTCAGGCACACGTTCCATATCATGGCCATATGTGTTCATAATTGTGTAAAGCGAACGTGGGCTTGACTCAGCAATAATGCGCATAGCTATATTTTTTTATCTCTAATTTTTGTACGCTTTTTTCCATCAGGATAATCATTTGTATATAGTAAGTCGAGTTGTCCGAGCAGCTCGTGAACATGTGGCTAAAACCCATGTTGATGTCACAAAAAGTCCTCGTGGCAGTGGAATGGCAATTTCGTTACCATCATATACTATTACTTGTTAAAATGCAATCGCAATCTCATTACTTTCTTTAAGCGTACGTTAATCGCCTGTTGGCTCGTTATTATATATTATTATTTCTCGCAACAAAACGATCTTCGTCGTTCACAATTTTCTTATGCCAGCATCTAGAGAGCAGAAGCAAGGGCTTTTTGAACAATCATATTCCAAACACGTCAATTTTCCACCATTGGCGAGGAGCGTGCGGTTGGCGTGCGCTATACCTCGCAGATGGAAGCAAGATGGCACAATGCCAATTAGTTTCAATGAAGTAACACCGCAATTTGATTGACCTACCATATTTCCAATACAATCATTTTTGATGATTTCCCCTGTTTTTTTCTGTATCTTATGAAAATGACCGTGCTTCTGTCAAGCGCCAGTATTTAATTGATTTTATGTCCACGTCGAAATGCAATTCAACCTGATTAAGAAAGGTTTCTGTGCCGACCAGCGAATGATTTATCTGGCTAACATTGCAAAGTTAAACAATATACTTCCTTTGTCGTTGAATGGACGAATGACTGCTTCCAATCTCTATGCGAATTCTGATTTTTCACATTCTTCTTAATTTTCAACTTCTAAAACCTAGAACTCAGATTGTGGTAACAACAAGAATATGAAGGGCATTGACCTTCGCTAATCTGTTCATTAGATTTATATAAACCAGGTCCTTCCATTACTTCACTCGAATTTGTTGACACTATTTGATAAGAATTTGTGTTCGTTTTATAAACATTTCATAGTTAATACTAATCATTTCAACGTGATTACTTACAAATACGTCGATAAATGGAATTTTATTACATTGTTGAATCTTTTTGACATATTAATAATCAAACTTCTATCTTATTGAAAGAAATTATTTGTACAGAAGCAGGACTACGCTCATGACGTATTCGAATGATTGAGGTTGAAGCATGTACGTGGCTGAAAGACTTCGCTCATGGCGTGTTATGATAATAGAAGTTGAAGGCATGTACATGAACTGCATCATCGTTGTTGAAGCATACGGTCTAAAAAAAACTTGAACATTAAAATGTTATATTTTCACGCAGATTTTCAACTGATTCAACAACATAGTCTTCTGTAAATAACTAGTTTTGATTTTTATCCTATTTATGAACTAGTTATTAGATTCTGCTACGGTATGTCCCCGCAGCACACAGAACGACTAAGTTTAGCTACTACTCTAATGAACCTATTCCAGGTTTTTATTTCATTAATACGATGTCGCATAAATACATTGAAATAAAAGTCATTGCAACGAAACGGTAGCAAACTGAACACAGGTTATAAAGCCCATACAAATACAATATCCAAGAATCAAAGAAACGTACAACGTGGACTATGAATCGTGATTTCTATGGATGAATTGAACGCTCTAACCAACTTTGGTTGTCATTATTTTTTTTTCAGAATGAAACTGAAGCTAAAAATAAGCATAAATGAGAAACAAATGTAACGCAAAGTGTGGATGATGACACAGTGAAGTATTCACTTCTTTACAAACAAATTGAGAAATTGTCCTAAAATAATCAAACATTTGCAAACCTGCCATAGTAAAATATTTGCAAGTTGATGCCTATCAACTTGAGAAAATTGAGAGAACTGTCATAGGCTTTTAATACTGCTGACTAATACTTTTAAATCAAATGAGGATAATATAATTTTTAATTGTTATAAAAAGTGTCAACATGCGAGTGTGTGGCGTCGACTGGATATCATGCCAGGCGCCTTGCCTTCTTAGTTTTCACAGCAGCAAGTCTTGACTAGCAGCAAAAACAGCATCCTGAGAATCAGACAGTGGTTATTTGTCAGGAATTTATTATTGAAATATTGCAGATTTATTTTATGAGCATGCATATAATTTGGCATGAATATTTGAAAATGAACAATTGCACATGGATTGGATATAAATTTAAAAGGCAAACTATTGTTAAAGCAGAGGTACCTACCTATCCAATTCTAAAGTCAACTGAGACATTTGAATCATTGAGATTTAAAATTAAAAATATATTTCTTTGAACTTACCAGTAACTGAAGGAGACTTATGACCTTGCTGGAAACCAGCCTTGCCATTGCTGCTCATCTTACTGCGCAAATATCCTGGCATGGAGTTTGATGGACAGCAATCTGGTTCTGTCTCTCTTGGGAGAATTTCAATGGCAAGGTGCCATCGAGCCATTCATCTGAGCCATCACAACAGTCGCACACTCCATCATTGGTAAAACTTGAAGGCACTGACTTTGGAAAGCCATTGCTGTGCTTCCTGCAATAAAATATTGAGTTTTCACAGGCATTAGTGAGTGGTTCATCTGAACCATCCTCAGGGCAGTCACAGTAGTTGTCATTAACTTGCTTTGCAGAGATAATCATTCCTGACTTGAAACAACGGAAAATTGTTTTATCATTCATCACTTCCAGATCTTTAGAAACTCCTATTCTGATCATATGATTCTTCTCAGAAGTGCTGAGCTCATGCTTGGAATGTGATTGATGCTTTAGCAGTCCACCTCTGTTGAATTTGTTGTCAACAAATTCTGGATGATTTCCATTTTCAGAAGCGTAATTTTTATTGAACTTGTATGATTTCATCACAGACTCATCTTTTCTTGAGTTAACTGGTTTCAGTCTGTTAATGTCTTTAGGATGATTTTGAGGTCGTCTGTTGGTTTCATTATTCAATACTACAAAAAACATTAGTTGATACATTAGAAATAAGAGCGCAAAAAATATGCAGGTAAACAAGACTCGTCTTTTCTGAAGTCGAGGTAGCCACCTTACAGGCAACATTTTATTTATGAAATATGTTCTTAATAACAATATTTGTCCCTGCAAAAAAAAGATAAATGAATAACAATAACACAGAAACCTGGCATGGGCCTGGATGCCTGGTGATCAAGAGGTCAGATTATTCAGATATTTATATCTGAACCTTTCCTTACCAAAACGGCTTTTGAGTCTCAATGATTACTTTCATTGCTCCATGAGTTGCATCTCATGATCTCAGCAGGTTTATATATATAGTACTGAACTTAACTTGCCACTCATTAGGCCAGCAACAAAAGTGCTATGAGAACTCAAGTTACATTGATGGTAATGCATACTGCCCACTCTGTTTCATGTGCTGAAATTTATTTTAAAATTTCAAGTATCATGAAATCAGTCTGATTAAAAGTAGTTTTATATTTATAATCAAGCAATTAATGCATGCAAAAATTTACACCCATCTCTAGTCTCTACCTTGAAGCTACTTAGCTACAAATCCCAAACACTGAAACAGTCTCTACTCTCCAGACTCCCAATCTGGAATATGGAACAGAATTTTCCAAGAATCACTATAAATAAAATCAATTCTCAGATCAACAATATTAAAGGGAAAATCATGAATGGAAAAATTGGGAAAGGCCACCAAAAAATGGAAATAACAAGTTGATTAACAACAAATCTCCAAATCCTGTTTTCCACTCTGACTGAGGCCAGAGAGGGAGAGGGCGAGCTGCAAGAGGCCAAGTTAAAATTTAGATTTTAGCTCATACCTGCTTGAAATTGTAAACAGAGTTTTTACCACAGTAGACAGTACCACTTAAGTTTTTTTTGTAATTTTGACTGATCTAGGCTAATTACAGATTTGTCTGTGTTCTAGAATTTTCAAACTGATGATGGAGCTGGACTCCTGACCAAGACATTTTATTTAAAGATAGTACCTATGACTTTCTGTGGAATTTTCTTTGCTTTTAAGTTTTTACTGTTTTCAAGCATTTAGATTTTAGCAATATGCAAATTTTTCAAAAAATAAACCTAATAATAATTAATAACAATTCAATTTCAATCTCATCAGATACTAAATTTTGCATAATTTCCTAAACAAATGTTCTCCTTTGCCACTATGAATTTACGAATTATAGGATTCATGGTAGCTAATACTCTGAATTTCTGAAATAATGTGTGTAGAATTCTGTAGTGGAGGGAGTACCTACCACAGGGCATAGGGCCGCAGGGCGTAGCCTCGTAGGGACTACCGGAGTAACCGGACTAGGGATCAGACTCAGAGACTTCAGAGTTTGCACTTCACATAGCCTACTGACAGACACAGCCTAGGAGTAGAGTAGACCTAGTCACCTAGGTACCTACAGGCTACAGAGTACGAAAAAAATTAAATTATTTCTTTATCATTCATCTCTCCCGTATCCATATTCTTATTTGGTGGTTATTAGAGCATTGGTGATGGCATGACGCGTCCACACATCTCCAAAGCTTCTGACAAATGCGAGAAATCACTGCATAAGCCGCGATAAGCGTCTTCACTTCTTCGTTGTTGTATTTTTGTCCAACCAGGCACCAGCAGATATATCCTTATGTACGGAAATTTACTGAAATTCCAAGTTTTTGTGTGGGCCAAAAATATTTAAAAGACTAAGCAAATTTGTGGGAAAAATACAAAGACCGTATGAGAACATTTACTTGTTCCATTTATAAAATTAATAAAACACCCTGTGGCTAAAATAGTTGTAACATAACAAGTCGGCTCTTCGTAATTATCAAGTTGACAGGAATGAACAAATTGTATAAAATACTTTAAAACTACAATTCTGAAGACTGTTTTCTTGCATCAAAAACATCTAATTTTATGATTTTTTTCTAAACAGCAATAAAAAAGCATTCATCTCTCTGATCTTCTAATTTTCAATACATTTAATGAAATAATACATAATTTTCAATACATTCAATGACATAATGATAGTCTGAATGCCAACATACTTTATTAGGACCAAAAATTTATATTCTAATGCAGTGGTTCCCAAACTTTTTCAGGCTGGCGCCCCCTTGGCTCCCCGGTGAATTCCTAGCGGCCTGACACATAATATTCACATAGCCCCCCCCCCCCGCCCCTCAGATACACAAAAATCCAGGTTTAAAATATTTTCAAAATTTTACACTAGAAACCAAGACCCAGAGGATAAAAAAAACAGATATGGGTAGAAATACCCATTGTTGGGATCAGTGTGCTGCTCGTGTTGTGTACAAATCGTCAAACAAACGTTCGAACTTTTGACCTCGAGTTCGGGGACTGATGCCCCCCTACTGCCCCCTTCTTCCTCATCGCCCCCCAAGTTCTTTCCACCGCCCCCAGGGGGCAGTACTGCCCACTTTGGGAACCACTGTTCTAATGCAAGGACAAAAATTCAACTGTTATATGTGCATAGAGAAAGCTTCGTAATTTGTACACACATGTTGTTCATCACTATTCACATAACTATGGGTCGGAGAATGAACTAACCAATCCAGCTACCTACCCAGACACCACTCCGACAGGAGTGCGTGAGCATCGCATACCGCATGATCAGGCCTTTATGAAAACCTGACCGCTTATTCTTTTTGGATTTGCAATACTACTTGAAAGCATATACTTTCATTATTGTCAAAAGGATGATTTTCAAGGTGAATTAAAGTGAAACGCATGAAAAATATAAACTACCGTAATAAAATGAACTGCAAGCACCCCTATAAAAGAAGATAAACCTGCTGTAAGAATAATAATATAAACAAAAACCTAGAGAAGCATGCCCTCTTTGCGGGCGCCTCGGACGAGCCAATCTTCCTCTTCATCTGACTCTTCGTCGTCTGCGTCGCCCGCGGTGTGCAGGTCGAGCGTGTGGTAGACACGTCTGCGGGCCGCTCGTCGCGACCTGCACGTGGCGGCACAGTACAAGTACATGGCATGACGGCAGATTTATAATAACATTACACACTATACAATTTATGACGACAGAATTGGAAGAATTACAGTACAAGTACACAATACAATTGCTGACAGAAGCTTTATAGTACATTTATGCATTACGACTTAAATAGGCAGCTTTAAAATACGATTACAGAATACCGTTGATAATTGTGGCTTGGAAATACAATTTTGGTGAATTGATGTGGCTGAAGCAGGCATAGCACATTAACACTATACACATTTGATCAAGGAATTATTGTTCGTGGGTTAACTGAATACTTTCCTGTGATGCTACTTCTCAATTGATGATGCAAGTGCTCTCGCAAAAAGCTACTTGTATGTCTCAACTAATCTCAGCTGTACACAACTTTCTGAGTTATATAAGTGTTTTTAGTACAACAAGTAGCCTACAGTTAGCAGAATATACCAGAAATTATTATATTTACTGGAGTTTTGTCGCTATACAAATACCGTGCACACATAAAATCTTCACGATTTCTTTACGCCAAGATCTTTACGATTTCCCTACCCCGAGATTTTATTACTTCTTTACGCCAGGATCTTAACGATTTCATTATGAAAAAATCGTTACGATTTCATTACGCCAAAATCTTAATGATTTCCTTGCGAAAAGATCTTTGTAATTTTTTTATGCCAATATCTTTACGATTTCTTTTTTGCGCCAAGATCTTGACGTCTTCTCTGCGTAAAGATCTTAACGCAAAAATTTTCTACGCCAAGATCTTTACGATTGTTTTATGTTAATATCCTGATGTCTTTCTGAAGCCAAGGTCTTCAAGATTTCTATACCTCGTGAGTAAGGCCACGACAGCCACGGCGACGGCCAGTAGAACTGCGGTGATGGACAGCGGCAGCAGGAGTTGGTCCAAGTGAGTCAGGCTGCCCCACTTGAGCACCGCAATGAAAGGCCATATGAACGAGCCCACTGCGGTGCCCACTTTGCTGCTCACCCATGACACCCACGCCTCCCGCTCTTGATCCCCTGGGGGAGTAGGAACGAATAGGAGTCATATGAACGAATGGGGGGTTAAGAACGGGTGGGAGGCATATGAACGAATGGGGAGCAGAAGAACGGATAGTGACATAGGGAAGACTGTGCACATAAGAACGAATGGGGGGCATGGGAACAGATGAAAAAAAACTACGCGGCTGCCAACACGAGACTCTTGAACTCGAATCCAAAGCTAGCAACACGAGTTGACAACACGAGATACAGAACTAAAAAGCTGGCACCATAAACAGTCAAGAAGTTGCGCTCACGGATAGTGGCCAGCATGAGGGCGTTCTGTCGCACTGAGATCGTGATGAGCGAGTGCCCGACTCCAACGACGATCCAGGACGCAGCCACCAGCCACTGGACCCACGAGTTTTGGTCCAGGACGTACGTAAAGATCATCTGGGCGGCAAGGCTGCCCAGTGAAAAGCCAACTAGCCCAGGAGAGTCCAGCAGGAATGTGAATCGCTGACGGCAGCAGAGCGCCAAGCCTTCGCCCAGCAGCGAGAAGGAGACGCCCACCACAGCCAGGGCCGAACCGAAACTCAGCTGTGAATATAATTTGGTCTCAATTTACAGGTCCTTCCATTTTACGGTAGTCATGCAGCCGAAGAAATGAGAAAATAACGTTCTTGATCTGTTCTAAACAAACACTAACGAGTTCTAAATTTCTTTGTAAAATAGATTCTAAAATTTATATTGAGGCAATTGAATTTCTTTTATAATATGATACTTCCTGAATCTAACAATAAAAAACGAAATAAGGTACATAAAAGTCAATTGTTCAAAAATTTCAAACAGGTAAGAACTCTAAATGTTTTCAAGGCAAGGCTTGCTTTAAAAACATAAGCAAGCACTCAGCGAAAATAAAAATAAAAACAATAACTCCAATTTGGAATCTTAAGTTTTTAACCCACCTCGCCGGTTCTCTGAACTCCCGGAAAACGTGTGATTTAAGTAGCCTTATGATATAAGTTCTTGACAAATTTAGTCCGGAGCAAGTCATCATCATACCTGTTGACTGCGGCTGGAGAGCATCAGCACGACGTACACGGAGGGCAGGGAGCTGAGGAGGCCGTGCACTGCGGTGCCGAGAGGACAGGCTATACGACGCAGACCTTCCCATAACACCTCGTCGTCCAGGTACAAACTCAAGGGCCTCGACATCCTGATAGAAAACAATACATTATGTGTATGGTAAATATTTGTATTTAAATAATTATATCAAACAGTTAAAATCGAGTACATGGTTGCAAATGTGCGCACTTCGTGACCTCGACATCCAGTAACGGATGTATATTTTATTCATGAGATGATTTGCTTTGGTTTTGCACTTTAATTGATCTATTATGTGTTGACAATATAAGCTATTTTGTGCATTGACATGAAAATTAGTGGTGGCTTTTTGAAGTTCTGCAGTTGACCTTAACCTACATAAACTCGTCAACCCAAGGTGTTCGGATCGGTTATCAGAGGAAAATAATGAAAGACTCGTAGGAAATTCGCTCTCATCTATTTTACATGAATCTATTAAGTAAGGGTTTATTTGCGTTAAAGTGTAAATTTCTTTTACATTTATGCTATAAATCATCGTTTGTGATTGATGTCAATAATAATAATAATAAAATTCGTTTTCCGGCTATTCTAATAAAATTTTAGTAATATAATTAATAGAACGTGAAGACAATTAATAATCGCAGTTCTTGTTATGACCTACTTGGGGGGTTTGATGGACCCCCAGGGGACAGGCAGCAGCAGGAGGAGGGCCGCCAGAGCGAGCACACTACCGACGGTGAACAGTCCCGCCTGGCCCGCCAGCGACCAGCCTGGGGGCAGACCCACCTGCCGCATAATTCATAAATTTGATCATCAACTAATAATTGAAGTGCATATAATAGCAAAGAGAATTAGCACGAATTATATTATATGAAATACGATTTTGGTAGATTATTGAAGGATATTGCTAGGATGTTCCAATACTGGAATAATCTGTGTTTGAAAACGGATGCTGGAATGCTCTCAAATGATTTTAAATAGAGTAAAATGAATTCAAAATCGTTTGAATTGCAATTTTGCTACGCATAATAACGAACCACAACTTGGTTCACACTGCCAGTATTAATTAAATATTATGTTCATTGAACCTTAAAAATCGGCTTAGTAATCAACTGGAAATGTTTTCAAGACTCACTATATTAGCAGTCGGCCTCACCTGGCACCCAAAAGCCAGCAGAACCGCAGACGCGACGACCACCCCGCTGGAAATGACTCTTGTCCAGCCGTAGTGTTCGCCGTTGGCGCTGAGCTCGAAAGTGTCCGTGAGGGTTCGCTCCAGCAAGTCATCGCTGTTGATATCTTGCCTGGGTCTGTGGTGGAAGAGGTGATAGCAGTGGCTGTAGCAGTGCCATAAACGTGTCACCCCCGCCTCCAAGCCACCTGACATCAGTGTGGCACTAACCAGCAGGATTGACACCCACAACCACGTTCTTGAGTTTGATGATGACGCCGACGGAGTTTCAGAGTCGACCTGAGCTTCAACCTCCTCTAGGATTTCTTTCAATTTCTCAATTTTTTCTTCGTCTAGGTCAAAAGACTTGGTGGCACTGGATTGTTGGTCTGGATCTGTTTCTTCGTGCTGTGGCCTTTGTGAACCCAGCTGACCTCCTATGTCATTTGCGTTGAATATTGATTTTTTATTTAGATTGCGCTTGACGATGGTATGCGAAACATGTTGACTGTAAAGTTTGTTATCTAATCCAAAGTTATGGTTTTTAAAATGGTAATCTATTTGCTCTGAATTATTTTTGTTAGCAGAAGAATCGCCAAATGAATTTATATTGTTGTTCACGTTTTCGTATAACTTCTCATCGTTGCGTTCCGATGAAGGCTCCAAGGGGATATGATAGTTTACATTTTGGTGCAATAGTTTTGATGATTTTTTCCTATGTAAGAATCTGCTCGAAGGGAGCCCAACATTGCTCCCTACGAAAGTAGATGAAAATTTAGCTCCTGGTTTCCACGCCGCTTGCTCTCGCGTGTTCGAATTTATATCATTCTGGATTCCATTTATATCATCATTCAACACAATTGTACCTTCATGACCACCTTTATTATAGTCGTTAGTCTTGGACGATTCTAGGATATTTTCATTACCAATAATTTCGTAACTTGTAGTCGTTGTGGTCAAGGCTGACCAGTTACGTGGTTTCTGAGAACCAAAAACTCCCGATTCTGTTGATTTATCTAATAAAAATGTACTTTTTAGAGAAGTGAATTGCTTTGGTGCTTCTGTTGTGAAAAATGCGGTGATTTTGATGGTTGTTGATAGTTGGATTGGATCAGTTTTTTCGTGAGCGATATTTTCGAGATTGAGAGATGTGTCGGTTGTAGTTTGAACATTATTAAAATTCGAGGAAGTTGAAGTGGCAATTTGTGCAGTCATTGTGGTTGCATTGAGATTTTCTGAACTAGTCGGCGTAGAGTTAGCCTCCAGGGGAAATTTGTCCAATGAATTGGAGGAACAGCGACTATAGGAGTTTTCTTTTGGAAGAGCAGCTATCGCTACCACATACATGATGAAAGCTGAAAACAATAGGAAGAACAGAAGGAACCTTCTTAGCGCACCACTTTTCGTAGCTGTAATCAACACAAGAACAACCTTTACGCTCACGACTCCTGAGAGGGTGATGAGAGTCATGACTAAACCAACCCCCATACCCGTGAGCCCTGAAGCCTGGAGAACGGCGGGTAACCACGGTAGGATCAACTCCTGGGAGCTCACCAGCAACAGAAAGAAAATGTTTACTTTCCAGCGACCAACCACTTGATCCACCGGATCCTTCTTGATACCGGATCTGGGATCCATAATCCAACCAATACCCATCCTGCCGTTGCCTCTATAAATGTAATAGAGGTTGCCTGCTTACTTCCCAACTATCCTGACCAAGTTCGCTGAAGGAATAAATAGTTGATCACTGCGTTGAAGAAAATTCATGATAGTAGCTCTGCCCGCGGTCAGAAATATTCGAGCACAGGATTCCAGATAAGCATTGAACTATCGTTGATTATTTTCAAAGCAGGTTTTATTTGAAAATGTTTTAATAATGTAATGAGGCTCTATGCTCATAAAAGTCATGCAAAATAATTTTTCTGTTATAATGACTTAGCAATTCAATAAATAATATGCCTGAGAAGGAGCAGAAATTAGAGGTCATAAATCATCGTTGGTAAATTGGATGTGCATATAATTGAAAGATTTCCACTTTCTTACCACATCCTTGAGCAGCCTATTGTTTCCAGGGTGATTCAAGAAAACTTTCTGTTTTGTATTTCACGTCAAGCCGCTAGATGTTGTAGTAAAAAGACGGGGAATATTTCATATGAAATGCCAGGCCGTAAAGTTTTATGTCCTTTCTAGTTAGTTGCCACTATGCATTGGACAAGTGAGAAGCGTGCGTTTGCTGTCGAGGCGTACATTTCTAAAGGCCGTTCCATTATTGCTACTCAACGATCATTCCGCACTCGGTTCCGTATTCGTTCTTCAGGTCAGATTCCTGATTGGAAATCGATTTTTACGTAGGTGAACTTATATTGGGCAAGTGGAAGTGTGAATGCAATAGGGTCTGGAAATCAGGCGACTGCCACAACACCTGAAAACGTCGAGAGAGTTAAAGAAGAATTTCTGCGTTCTCCAAACCGTTCAGCATGTTTATACATTCCTATTCTGGGGATTTCAAATAGCGGAGTGATATGAATTGACAATGGGGATCGTCCTTTGTCCGATGTCAATTTTAAACTAGGTGATACAAAAATTCAGTCCTTCTCAATAAATTTATATTGTGATAACATCTTTGCTAATCATTTTTTTTATTGAGCTTTAGAATCAGGTAGTTTCTGTGAATCACCCTGTTTTAAACATGAACTTTCGACTAGAAGTTCTGTATTACTAAGACAACTGTAAAATAAAATACTTAAAAAAAAAACTTTTTAAAAAACCACGTTTTTCTTGTGGACTAAAAAGTAGAAAATAAATTATGGCTCGCCCTGTGAACGTACAGCCCGACCCACGTTTTTTGGGGCGAGCCATAATTTATTTTCTACTTTTTAGCCCACAAGAAAAACGTGTTTTTTAAAAAGTTTTTTAAAGTATTTTATTTTCTACTTTTTAGTCCACAAGAAAAACGATTAAGACTTGATTAAGTATGACTTGACGTACGTATCGATGATACGAAGCGTCAGCGCATGCTCGTCTATAACGTCAGCGCCCGCACGTCATTTATATATACTATATAAATATACTTTACTCAATTAAGCTAATTTAGGTCTCTAATTGCTAGTTTTTATGATTGTATCTGAAATTGTTAGGCGAAAATAGCCTGCATGCCGAATTTCAGATCTCTAGAGCAATCAGAAGTAGGCTAATTTTCGTTGTCAATATTAACAACAAACAAACAAACAAACAAACAAACAAACAAACAAACAAACAAACGCGAAGCTAAGCTAAGAACAAACAAACAAACAAACAAACGCGAAGCTAAGCTAAGAAAAACGTGTTAAAAACGTGTAAATAATTTGGAATGGAAAACTATGCTAGTTAATATGTTCAAAGCGCTTTGCTTGCATGCGTACATAGTCGTAGGCTAAACTGTTTTGAATACCAGTATAAGCTAATACTAATTCTGATGATATATCCAAATTATTTGCCGCCAGTCAGGCGTCATTTTTGATGTCATGAACATATGGAAAAAATTTGCGAGTAATGATGCCTGAATTCTTATTTTGAGGACGATAGTTTGAAGCACACTTACGAACTATTCATTCACCCGTTGACAAAAACCACTCTGCGTATTTAGCTTTTTGGCCTTCAGGGGTACAAACGATCAAGAAATCCTTGGAATTCACATCTATTACAAATAATTTACATATTTACTGTTTATATCTAGTTTATTAAATCCTTTCGAAACATCAGCATCTTCATTATTTCTAATGAGCCTTAAGCATATCTTATCATCACCCACAAATTTTCATAGCCGCTCCAATTGAAATTTGACTTCATTTTCACCTTGTTCCGTCTCTGGTAAGTCTATTTCAGCTGTATATAAAAGTGAAATAATTGAAATGCTCTACGATGAAGACGTAATAAGAGACTGCACAAATACACCTGCCTGACATGCACTGCACGGCACATCTGTGACGGATGCTCGTGTCTCCGCCGCCGATAACGGCACTCAGGCTGTGTCTCGGTGTAGCGTCTCCAACACATCAATGTTTGATAGTAACGCAACACAACTGCGCTAATTAATAATTTGTAATTGACGCGTGTAATGACAGGGAAAAGTTTACTATAAGGTATGATAATTTACCTATACATTAACTATAAGGTATAATAATTTACCTATATATTTACTACAAGGTATAATAACTTATCGAATAATCAGTAAGTGAGACGAGCGCGCATTTTTTTAGTTAAGTGGTTATGTTAATTCTACCTACATTGTGTGATGCGCATTTATATTATATTTTATGAGTCAGATTCCTTGCAACTATTTTTAAATCATTTCAAGTTATGCTTGCTGTATCTGCATTATATTGCTATATGATTAAGTATAGTATTGGAATGCCTTGTGAATGTCAAGCCCAAAGTCATGTTTGTATTTTTTTATAATTTCGCATGTACTAGGAAAAATAATATCGTTGTATCGTAAATCTTGATATATGTGTATCTTTAAAGAGCATCTAGAGCGGAGAAAAGTTTAACATTGACGTTCTTCCCTAAAACGAGTTTTTTTTCAGAATTCTACTTCAAAATTTTTTTTATGTTCCCAAAATTGAAATCAAAATCATTGAGATTGTGCCTCTGAGAAATACTTCCAAGTTTAGATTTCATGTATTCGAGCTAGACTTAGTAATTCATAACGAGACTATTGATTAACTTTAGGCAGTTTTTTTTCTATAATCCTCAATAATTTTGGTTTTCACGAGTATAGATTCGAACGTATGGTTAAAAACATAATATTCATACGCGTGGTGCCGATTACAATATTAAGCTCCAATAAGTGCTTAGTGATTTGAAGAAAATTTCTAATTTGCCACGTGCATAATAAATAATTTAGTAACGATGAGAAAAAGTAAGTGAGATTCATCGCTCAATCACAAATGAAACACCTGCATTATAACTTTCATTGTAGTCCAACACACACACACCCTTACACCACCACCACCGCGCTAACACTGACACCTGCTAGCCAGCAGAACACTTGTTCCGTATTTCTGCAGCTGCATCGGCGGCAGCTGCCACCAAAGGGCGGGTGTCTAGAAACAAATGCCAGGCTGGCATGCATGATTCACTCTCCGAGGTGATTAGTTCACGCTATCTTATAAATTATAACGTTAATCGTATACGTTTTCATTATGAAACTTAGGAAGCTAAATAATTTGAAAATTTAGCATTAAAAATGTGAATGCTGTATACGTTACAATTAATTAGGATCTAAGTACAATTATTTAGGCACTAAATTATTAGCAATTAGGCACTATATACACCGCGGTGCGTGCTACTCCTGACAATTTCTAAGGAGATAAGGAAAATACGGGTAATTATATATTAACAAATAACTGGTTAACATTATTATGGAGATAGTGCTTCTGAAACATCGATTGAAAAAAAAAAAATTTAACACGGCCTTGCAGGCCCCATCATACTCGGAAAAATGAGTGAGGCATTGTCCGAATAACCTATGCACTATCTGCCCCAGCGTGAGTCATTCTGACCCAGTTTGGCCTGGCAAAAAGGCGCATCGATGTTATGATCGTCCCATGCGTTTAAGCGATAGGAAACTATTAATTTACTAGCAAGTAGCAACACTATGACTTGTGATAGAATTTTGTCAATAATCCGACAGCGCGGATTATACACGCATAGAATGATGGTTCTACTTGTGATATCTCCACTACTTGATCGTGCAACATTTGCACGATCAAAATATGTGAAAAAAAATATTGGAAAAAATTCAATTTAGTTAATGCCAAAAACTGATTTTGTTTTCCTTTTACGTTATATTTTACAAGCAAATGCATATTACGTTATATTTTACAAGCCCAACTCTCTCTTCATTCATTCCTTCTAGTCGGTACTTTATATCTCTGCCAACCATAATTTTTAGCTCCGTACGCAGATTTCTTCTTCAACTCACGCTGTTTATTAAAAAGAGTTCACAACTATTTTAGAACGGCTTTTTCTGGGCCAACAAGGAGCAATAACGACAGACAGCATTCGATAGTCGATACCATCGAAGGCATCGATTCCCGCCATCGAAGTTCACAGAATGTAAACAAATCCAAAGCCTCTGATTGGTCAGTTGGCCAGATGGTTTTGATAGTACGCTTTTAGCTAAGTCTTACGTACGAATGTTTTGAAAATGCCAAAATTAGGGTTTACTTACGTAACACGTAACTTTTTTGTCAGAAGTACAAAAAGTTACGAAGTTTTGATAATACGGCCCCTGATCGCAATCAGCGACTAGTCAGAACCTCCTGGCCGACTTTATGGTCTCCTGAGAGTAGGGCAAGAGTTGACAGAATCCCCTGTCCCCTCACCAGGCGCTTGTAGCTGTCTGATTCGGGGACCGGAATGTAGACCAAAAAGCGGACATAGAGAAGCTGATTTACGTACAGGGCCGAGTCCTAGGCGGTCCCTAATTCAGGGTCACCACCAACTAAAAATTTTGATAGGGTATATGACGGCGTACGGCACTATTTGGACAGAATGACCCACTTATTTAATGCAGGTTCAGACCACACTGCCAGGACGTTGATATAATCATAAAAATATATCCATTATTATATATTATTTAATGCATAACAACTTGCCTGATACGCATGCCATACATACAACAGTATCAATTATCTCAAAATGACACATACGCGAATCATACCACGATTATCAACTAAAATTAATATTAATCTGTTACTAATTATCTGGTCTCACTTTGTGTGACTTTGAGTGTTGCGAAAAGGAAAATTTGTAATTGTTAGATGAATTTTGTTTGTTTAATAATATTTGCGCTGTATCATCATGACACGTATAAAACTTGCGCTGTATCATCATGACACTTATAAAACTTGCGCTGTATCATCATGACACTTATAAAACTTGCGCTGTATCATCATGACACTTATTGGAAAACAATCAAACAATTGATTGGTTCTTACATTGAACTTCGATTAAACTCACTAAATTCTACCAATAATTAACACAGTAAAATATAAATAACATTTTAGTAACATAGTAAAATTGTAATATTTTTAATCATTTTAATGACACAGTTAAGTAACAGAGTATAATTTTAATACCATTGTAATAGCAGAGTGAAAATGGTCAGTATTTTCGGTGATAGATTATTACAAGGAAAATTACTGTCCGATAATACTTACAATTTGTACATCAAAAGTTCGCGCGTTATGATGAAAAAACGAAGAACAGCGTGCATTGGATCAATTCTCTATCGTTTTAAATCACTATTGATGAAAAGCTAACACGTACATAATTTGCATTAAATTTTAGTAGTTTTGCATTAACAGTTCTAATTGCAATATGAAATTTATTAGAAGGTACTTATATTTTCTCCTAGCGACTAAAAACTTTCCTGAAGATATCGTCTGAAAATTAAGATTCGTCCTAGTTGTT